TGTCCAAGCCACAAGAGCTTTCACCTCTTTACTGTTGCAAAGAGGGACTCCTGGGGGTCTGCCAATTGTGCTACTTGGTCTTGTACAAAGTCATTTGTCTTGTGTTCTCTCCGAGTAGATCCCAAGAAGGCATCTGAAGCATTTTGTTTCAAATGTTTGGACTCTCTTGGTGTTTTCTGCTATCAGAATCCAGCTTTCACATCCATAGAGCAGTATGGATAGCACCAGGGACTTGTAGAGCTTCATCCTGGTTGGAAAACTGATGTTTTTGCTCTTCCAAATCTGAGTTTTGCCATTGCTAATGTTGCCCTAGCCAGTCTGGTCTTGATCTCTGTTGTAGAATGTCCATCTTTGATGAGGGTAATGCCAAAGTATTTAAAGGTGTCCACATCTTCCAGTTGTTCTCTGTTCATGAAGATCTGGGCCCTGATGTTGGTTGTGTTGTTGACCAGGACTTTACTCTTCTCAGTGCTCACTTCCATTCCATACTCTCCTGCTCTGTCTGCCAATCTGTTGGTGAGCCCCTGCAATTCTGATTTCCTACCACCCAACGAGTCAATGTTGTCAGCAAAGCATAATGATTCTCCCTCCTATGAATATAGTAAACTGAAAGTCTTGAAGGGTTTCTTGCATGATGTTCTTGAGAAAGAGATTGAACAATGTTGGAGAAAGCAAACAGCCCTGACAGATGCCAACTGATTTTTGAGGTGGACAATCAATCTGGCAGGATTTGAACCTGCATCCCCCTGGGCAGGGGAAACGGTTGTTGGTTCCAACATGCTTTAGACCTCTCAGCCACAAAGTGCATTGATGATGAAGCAAAGTTGAATAGTGCCTTTAAACACAAATCTTTCCCTAACTCTCAAAATATACATATCTGATCAGTTTCACATCCTAACAAACAAGGCAGTTTCTAAAGAAGTGATGGACTATATATATATATATATATATATATATATGTGTGTGCGTGTGTGTGTGTTTGTAAATGAAAGCTACATAATTATAAGTATTTATTTATTACCTATCAAGGATGAATGGTGGATCATCCAGAAATTTTGTAGTTTACTCTTTGCTGATATTGCTCATTAGTTTATTCATCATTACACTTTTAAAAGAGCTTTTTATGTTTAATTTGAGTTTAAGTCAAAGAGTAGACATCTAAATTGTGGATAGTTATTTCTTACTTTATAGCTTCTACACTAAATTCCTTTGTATACTTATAAAATATGTGATGTCATCAAAGGATGTAGGCCACTCTAACAAGCATAACCAATATTTAATTAGCAAACAAGAGTTGCAGGATTTTGTTAATTGAATATTAATTGCCTGCAAGCATGTTTTCTTTGAGAAATTGCCTTCCTCTTTTATAGATACACATCTTGAGGGTGGCTGTTTTCTTCAAATAAGTTGTTAATGACTCTTGAAGGTCGTTAATCTGCTCTTATAGCATCGCCCTAACGTAAGCTTTAGAAGGCACTTCAGTACATTTGGCCCATCAAGGACATCAAGTGCCAAAACACCAGCTGATGTACTTAAAGAACTCATGGAAAACATTTAGAAAAACTTCTTTGAATAAAATGCACACAAAGGCTCTGAATCTATTATAGACATCTACAAATATTTTTCAGTCAGAATCATTCATGGAAAATTAAACATTTTGTATAACTATCACAATGTATTTATTTTTTGCCTTCTGTTATATTAATGATCAAATGTTTCTCCCACGACTATGTAAATAAAGCCATCAAAAAATTACATATATTTATTAATGTTTTTAGCAATTACATAATAAAAATTAAATGCCTCTTGATAATTATATAGTGATATATTATCATGAACAGGCCAACCAACATGTAGACATAGACCCATTTAATAAATATGTCTGCTTAATGTTTGTGAATTTTGCTTAGAAAAATAATTGGAAAAATAAATTATACCAATGGGATTATTTACGTCAACTCATGGAGATTTTTAGAAATGTGTTTTTATGTATATAATTTTAATTTATTTTTATCTGAATAATAATGAACTTATAATAATAAATCAGAATTGAGGATTCATCTATAAAACAAAGCATCTATTAAAATATTTAATTCAAGTTTGCTTGTTCTATCACCTCAATTAAAAATAATACAGGATTCTGATCATTGACAACTAAAATTCAGGAAAAGGATTTAGTTGTTTTTAGATAACACAATTAAACCTGTGACAGCTATAATTTTTATTTATTATTAATATTCTTTTATTCAAATAGTGAATTTTTTTTTAAGTTAGTTCACACCAAGCAAGGCAGTAAAGCTGCTAAAACATGAGAGGGAAAATGGGTGTGAAAGAATTAACAAATAGAAACATTATTAAAGAACAGAAACAAAGAAAGAGTAATCAGCAGATAGGGATTGACATTGCATTTACATTTTTGAAGATTAAAGTTGATTGGAAAGCATGGAGCCGGAAAGGAGTTCCACAAGCAAGAAGTGTGAAAAAAGAAACTGTTAGCATAGAATTTACAGTTATATCTACCCAACTCAACTGTAAATTGATGAAACCTTGTTGGTCGTCTAGTATTGCACTTAAATTCAAAAAGTCAAGGTACCATAACAAAGAGCTCATCTGAACAATTACAATGAAAGTATTTATAGAAAAGGCAGAGAGAAGCAACCTTATGGTGTTGGGAAAGTGACTGAAGCCAAGGCACCAGATCAGGACCAATAATATTGCTGATTCTTCTTTGGATTTTATCAAGGATCTCAAGATATAAAGCAGGATCTCTGGACCATATGTGCCCACAATATTCAAGACATGGATGAATGATAGACTTATAAATATGCAAGATAGATTCTGGCACAGTAAAGCAACTTTATTAGCAAGTGACCTAGCAAGGGATTCAATACAGTCTTTCCACTTCATGTCAGCTGAGTATGTTAGCCTGAGAAGGTGCAACAAGTTACTCTGCTGATGATTAGCATCAGCCATCCTAATAGAAAGCAGAAAAGGGTCTCTCAGATGATTGGTAAATTTTCTATATTTGATATACATTTTGGAAGAAAATGGAGTGTTTTTTACACACACACACATTTTTTAATGGATTTTTTAAACATTATTTCTATTACCATAAATGTTATTTTTAGTGGGTACACATATTTGAGTTGCTATCCTGGGTTTTTATTTTCTTAAACAGGGAAATTAATTGCAACCAACCTAGATTGTCTAATCCCACTAACAAATAATTTTGCCTTTAATACTTTGAGTTGTTAGAGCTAGGTTAGATAAAAGAGCTGCTAGGCTTTTGTCATCTAGATATTTAGAGGTGCACCTACTGGTATCAACTGCATAGATATTTACCAACAATCTGATAATGTTCTTAGGCGGATAATATAAAGCAGAAAGATTGTAATATAAGTCATGATCCTTGTGAGATGCCTGCATTGATCTCATGGGTTTCATAAGCCTAACCATTCACAACCGCCAAGGAAGGATTTGATGATTGCAAGGACTCTTCTAGATATTCCATAGCTGGATAGATTGTGTAGCAACCACCTATGCCATACCTTGTGAAAGGCCTTTGAGATATCTAATATGATCACTCTTGTGATGAATTTATTATCAAGTGCTTCACTGGGTCTGTGTGCTACAACAGGACATTTACAGTGAACCTATTGGGTTTTCCGGAAAGTTCATGCCAATTTTTAAGGATAATTAAAACACAAAACAAAATTATGCCATTAAATATTCAACTAAATATGGACCATTTTGTTGCATAACCTTTTTCCATTTTTCTTTCACCTTAAAGATTCCATCTTCCCAGAATTTCAATGATTTCTTGACAAAGAACTCATTAAGATGGGGTTTTTTGTCACCCAAAGAATTAAAATTCTTACCATTGGGATTATTTTGCAAGGACCTGAATAAATATATATATAATTTTATTAATATTAATAAAAAAGTCATTGATATATTGGAAATATGTTGATTCTTTAATTAAAATTGTAACACTAGAGAAAATGACTTACCTCTGTGACAAAAATTGATTGAGACGTGTCTCGCATGTAAAATACCCCCCCCCCAAAAAAAAAGGCAGCTTCACAAGTTGTATATTTAAAAAAGATAGATCTCAGAGTAGGATAGACTTTCGTGAGAATCTCTTTGAACCTATGCAAATTTGAACTGTCACTCAATCTATAAAAAGTGCTTAAAGAGGCAGTAGAGAAGTGTGATGGCTGTAGCAAACAGGAAACATGTTGTTGGGTTGTTTGACATGTTACTTTGAAGGTTAGAGGAAACAGATTAGGGAACTTTATTACAAACAAGAAGAAACTGACTATAAAAATATTTTGTAAAGGACCAGTTTCTCCAAGAAATAATATACTTCTGAGAGGCAACCTTTCTGAAGAGAAACTGGTTTTGAACAGTATTAAAAAGTGAACAACCCTGTGCATTTTTTATAGATATTTTCATGAAAATTGTTCTGATGTACTTTTCTCTTTGGTACCTTGACTTTACAAAATTAAGTGCGATACTAGATTAACAGCTAGGACTCATCAATTTACAGTTGAAATTACTAGATGTAACCGTAATTTCTATGCTAACAGTTTTCTTCTCTCATACTCCTTGCTCATGGAACTCTCTTCAGGCATTTTGCTTTCCAGGGTTGATCTTCAAAAATTTAAATGCAGTGTCAATCATTATCTTCTGTTCTTTATTTGTTCTCTCTCCTTAATAATGTTTTTATTTTTCTCATATTCCCTCACACTCAGTAAACCCTTGTGTCTTAATGGCTTTATTGCTTTGCTTTGGGGGAAATGGATTTTTTTTTTAAATTTCCCATGCTGAAATAGGAGCGGTTTTATCTGTCATCAAATATAGTTGTCCTTGTTATTCAAATTTAAAAATAAAAACAACTTGCTCTGAAGTACTATTTCCAGTCTTTTTAGATGATGATTGTCACTTATTTGGAGTGGGGCAGAGAAGAAAAACTGCAATAGGAAATTGAGGCTCATAATATGGCATTATCTATAGTTAATATACAGATTTCTGCTTTATGTATGCTGTGTTAAGAACATTTTATATGAGATCCTCAGAATGGATTGTAAACATAAAAAGTAATATTAAATGAAAACGATTAAATCTGATAAATATTTTAATATATTTTCTGTTTATACGTTATTTTTATGGATACAACTTATTTGAGTAAATGCTCTGTTTTAGTCAAACAGTATTAATTACATTTACCTGCCTGAATGTTAACCATTCAGCCAGAGAACTTTCCACTTAGCAAAGTCCAAATAAAAAGTAATATACACGGCACCAATAAATCTAGTATCACTGAGTTAGTGTATATATTTTTAGAGATCACAATTGTACTTAAACAAACAACTTAAAACAATACTACTTGGAAATAAAAAAAAACAAAGCCACTTCTGAATAAATAACCTTTTGTTTTGCTTCTCTCTCTCAGATGCTGAACTTATGAGACACTCAATATAGACATATAACCCTCACTAATGAGTAGATTAAAAAAATGAATAAATAAATGCACGAAAAAATCTAAAATAATTCTCCATAGTCTTTTTCTAAGCAACAATTCAAAGGACAAAAGGGGACTGTTGGGGTTTGTTTAAAAATAGGTGGGTGGGGATAAATATTGAAAAATTGGGTTTGGGGAAGGTAAAAAGTGTAATATTAGGATACAGCAGAGTGACATTAGAATTTTTTTTTTTTTTTAATATAAAATCTATATCACAAAAGTCACTTACACTTAAGGAACACATATGGTTTACAAAGGATAACAATATAAAAGTTATACAGAAATGCATGCTTGATTTTTGTTGTTGTCTGAGTTTAAAAGTCCAATCTTTTGTATTTTTGTGATGTTTATCTGGACAGGATGCACTTATAGGACAGCCAGATTTAACCATCTATGTTTGAGGTTTGCAGTTGTAGCAATATAGCCACAGATAGTTCATCTTGTGTTAGGTTAATTATTTTTAATTTTTAGTATACTCAATACCAAAAAAGAATTATCTTCATTTAGGCATAGGAGAGGGCACTAGGGTGTGTCCGAGGAACCAAGTGGGGGACAGCTAGAAATAGTTTCGGAACCACTTGTCTATATAAAAAATTTAAAAAAAAACAAACTCTGATGTAACTTTATTAAATAAACTTTTTTGTTTGTTTTAAGTATTGCATTTTCTTTTTTCTTACTTACTCCATAGTCATTAGGTTTGAGCACTTTGATGTGGTGTAATGGTTAACAAGCTTGTCTTGCTAGATTAATTACAACAGAGTAATGAGTTCAATCCTCACTGTAGTCCTGGGTATTATGAACAACAGTAATTAGGACTAAATCTGGCAGCAAGGCTTCTGATCAGGAGATGGGAGGTTTTGAGGAACATGGAATGATTACTTTTGTTCCCAGGTCCACCCTGACCCAGTGTGATAGCACCTGTTAGGGCCCCAGCTATGGGCAAATAGTGAATCCCCAAACAAAAACAAGATTCTATGAAAGCAATACATTTTTTTAGTAAAAATATCAGCAATACATTTTTATATTAAAAATACGAACAATACATTTTTATAGTAAAATGACCAACAATACATTTTATCTGTAGTTGAAACCATAAAATTGTGTTCAAAATATTTTAGGATTAAATAAACCATCTAGGTTAATATATCGCTAAACAAAATCAACCAAACAAGAAAAAACTCTTTTGTGACATTAACCCATATAATATACTACAATTTTTTAAAGAACTCACACTGTATTCCAAAATATAACTTCAAAAAAACTACAACATAAAACACACATATCATTGCCTCTAGTAATTATGTCCACACAAACATGTATATGCACCAAAGCTTAGTATCATCTACCATGTATTCAATTGTGAAAGCAGAATAACATGTATTTTTATTTACTTCAAAGCTTAAATTCCAGCATTAAATGACCCATAAATAGTTGATATGCCATTAAACAAAAAACAATCATCACTGGCTCATGCTTTGTGCCACATCTAAATTATGCTTAGATAATCACCATAGTCATTAAGTTCAAAATACTCAGGATAAATGCCTGAAAAGGCTGAAAATAATGTCAAGTTCCTGTCTGTAAATTCCAGAAAAATAACTTCTGTTATTGCAAACTTTTTATTTTAAGAAAAAGAATCCCAATTTCCTTGTTAAGTTCTTTTTCATTTTTCTTTTTTGCCATATAAGGTCTCTCTATTATTCCTATTGAGAGAGATCAGCCATTGACCTTAGCACAAACCATAATTGTTTCCCTTTTTTTCCTTTACATAAAATTAATAAAATGCTAAAAGGTTCAGTTATAATAAATATCTACTTATTGTAAGCATTTATGATGTCATTCATGAAAATGTTTTTTCACAAATTTTACAATTGGTCACTTATTTCTGGTTGAATAGAGACTTAATTTTTCTTATTGAAGATTTACTCCAAGTAATTTTAATTGTTTTTTTTTTTTGTATCTTTGTTCATTATTCATATTTCACAAATCTGAAATTTAAATGTGTGTTTGATTATGTAGAAAAAATGCATAATTTATTGTGCTTTATTTCTGTCATAAATTCATTTGTTTCAGCTGTGATTGGTTTTAACTTTTTTCTAATTCTTTTAAAATTTTTCTTGACAGCTCGAGATAAAGGGCAAATTAGCAGAATCAAAAAGCTCAAAAGAAGAATTTCAGCCAGTTTTGGTCGTTTGAGTAAGTAGAACACGATTACGATCCTTTGTTATGCCTTTATTTTGAGAATTATTTTCCTTTTTTTCTCTATGTTTTCCATAGAAAGTGTTTTAATTCACCAAATAATTCTGCATACAGACTTCTGTGATCTCTGATATGATTAATGTGTACAGATTGACCTGTAGAGATTTTTAACTAAAAGTCATTAATTTAGAACCTAATTTTCTGCATAGATTAAGCCTTTTTTTTTTTTTCTTTTTTTTTTTTTCGGCTAATGGGACAACAAATTGTTAACATATTTTAGGAAACTCTCATGGCATCTTATATACTGATGCTCAGAGAATCACAAGCACACAGTACCAAAATCAAAATGTTTGCAATTTATACATCGAAATGCCAGAACTTTGACCAAAAATACAATTTATTTCACTCAATTGTTTGGGCAAATCAACAAGAGTAGTATCATTTCAATAAAAACAATTAGTTTTTGTTTTATTTGTTTTTGTTTTTTTTGTAACTAATAAATATTTTTCATGATTGAATCTAAGAGTTGTATTTAACCTCTTCCATTGTGCAAAGATTTCAACTGTTACTTGTATTGTTATGTAAACCCTGCAATTTTTAACAATTAGATTTTTATATGTTTTCTAGCTGAAAGAAAATTATTCAAAATATAGTGGAAAATATTTTATCTTAAAAATAAAACAACTTTAAATTACTATAACTAGGCAGCACCGCCCTAATTTTTGCAAAAAAAAAACAAAAAACAAAATAGATATCATCATAAAGAATTGATCAAAAAGGAAATATTCAGTTTGTAACACTTTTTCACTGCCAGTTTTACACTTCAAATCTATTATTCATTTTGGGACTTCTCCAACTTTCCAAGTACAAATAACTTCTTCACTACTCTACCATAGAAATATATTTTTTTTTAAACCTCTTCTCCACTATAGATGTGTATATATGTTTTTACCAAAAATGTCTTTTCCAGATACACACTAATAAACACAAACAAAATATAACATTCAAAAACCAGCTACAGACCATGTTTATACATCGATCTTGATTCTTTTTATGCTCTTCTGAGCTTGAAATGTGTCCAGTTGTCAACACATATATCTGGTATAGGTGTTAGCCTCCACTTGGGTACTTCAAGGTGCCTCAGTTTCTTAGTTACTATATTAAAAACAAATGAAACATTTTTCCAAATTGGGGTGTAAGAGGTTAAGCAGCCATTTTCCTTATTAGATATCTATGAGCCACTATAAGTTTGATTTCCTTTATATAAGATTTTAAGAGAAAGAAGACAATTTTTTTCATTCATCTCCAACTGAATATAATTTTAAAATATGGAACTCAAAAAATAGAAAAAATAAAGTTACATTTTCTTGGTATTTAGAACAAAATTTATTCTTTAAAGTTATACATGTTAGTTTATGGTGATTAAGTTTCTGATTAGAATTTCTCAGTGGGGGTCAGGCGGATTAAATTATTCTGGACTTTTGGAAATGCATTTGATCAATATATGCTTTGGTCTTCAAATTAAATGGCAGGAATTTTAAAGAAAGAGAACTTTGGGGCGAAGTAATACTCTTATTCTTTATATCTAAGTGATCAAAGGGTAAATATATGCAGAGTGTAGCAGAAATATCTCCCATATAATTGTAAGACATTAGCAAGATGAAGACACCATTGCCACTAATATCTTACCATTATGTGGGAAATATTTCTGCTACACTCTGTAGATTGAGGAAAATACTTTTCTTTTATTTTTAAATCAAATTCATCTCATGCAAGGCAGTAAAGCTGCTAGGAGACAAGGGATAGCTGGGTGTGAAAGAATTAAAAAATAGAAACATTATTAAGGAGTGACAACAATAGACAAGTAATCAGGAAAACAGATAACAATTGACATTGCATTTACATTTCTGAAGATTGAAAACATGTAAACATGGAGCCAGAAGAGAGTTCCATAATGAAGAAGTGCACAAAAAGAAACTGTTCGCATAGAACTTATGGTTACATCTAGCAGCCAATTCAACAGTAAATTGATGAAACCTTGTTGCCAATCTATCATTGCACTTAAATTCATAAAGTCTAGATACCATAGTGAAGAGATCAACAGAACAATTACCATGAAAATATCTATAGAAAAGACACAGGGAAACAACTTTACAGCAGTGAAAAAGTGAATGAAGCAAACATGTTAGATCAGGACCAATAATATTGCTGATTCTTCTTTGGATTTTATCAATGATCTCAAGATATAAAGCAGGATCGCTGGACCATATGTGACTGCAATATTCAAGACATGGATGAATGGTAGACTTTTAGATATGAAAGATAGATTCTGGAGAGAAAAATGTTCTAGCACAGTGAACCAACTTTCTTAGCAACTGACCTAGCAATGAATGTTAGCCCAGGAAGGCACAACAAGTCACTCTCCTGGATGTTAGTATCAGCTATCCTGATGTAAAGCAGAAAGGGGTCTTTCAGATGACTAATAGAGACCAGTTTTGTTTTGTTTTGGAGGCATTAAAATTATCAAGCCATTTTTTTCTCCCAGTTAACAATAAATAGACTGTAAGTCATTTTCAAGATCAGTCATCATTTTATCTCATTAACTCAGATAACTTGGCCAAAACATTGGAAATATGATAATAAAGATGAGGACAACAGTCTGAACAATGAAAATAGTATAAATAAAAATATGCAGACACTAATCCAAAATATATGTGGAATTTTCTTGCAATCTAACAATTTAAAATATTATTAAAACTCTTGAAATGGTTTACATGAAAATAGATAGAAATTTAATAAGACAAGATAATTATACAACAACACTTCATATTAAATGACAAAAGATGACAGCATTAAGAGATTATTGTTAATGACAATGTACTGCAGCTTGCTATTTTTTCTTTCTCTATTTTTCTTTCACTTTCTCTTTTTCTTTTGTTTTTCTCTTTACTATGCTGTCAGCAATACCTTCTTTTTTGTTTTTTAGTTGGAGGGTGTATTTATTGCACACATTTTAGTTGGAGGGTGTATTTATTGCACACATTTTAGTTGGAGGGTGTATTTATTGCACACATTTTCAAATTGTTTACATGTAACTGGAACCAAGTTTATATTTTTTTCCGAGTTATTCCTGAAATTTATTGAGTGTAATAAAAGAATTTCTTGAAAGTGTCAGCACAAAAAGAAAGATAATCTGCTTTAAGAAATAAATCCTGGCTCAAAATGTAATTGCTATTCTTTCTTTCTTAAATTTTAATTAGTTTTACTCTCATATGACACCAGTTCTGTGGCTTAATTTAAATTGGCATTTTTGTGTTTAGTCATGACAACTTAGCCATTTAAAAACACAGAATCCATTCAAACCCATTGCAGATGGAGAGTAAAAATAATTTCTATTACTTTTTCCACATAAATTAATGTTAAATTAACCTTGTATTGGACTCTTCTTTTTAATGCATATTGTAGCAAACCACTGTCATTCTCTTCATATTACCGTCGTGAGATGTAAATTCCACTCAAACAGCTCCTCCTCATAAACCACTGCCTTGTGGAACTGACTCCCAAGATGTTTCTTCCCTGATCACTACAATCTTAACCTGTTCAAGTATAGAGTTAACCGTTATCTTCCCCACATATCTACATAAGCTGTGCCTCTTATTTTGTTATTTCTACCTTGAGTGACCCCCAGGCCTTGTACAGTGTGAACACCACTATAAAAAATAAAACATAAAAAAAGCAGATTTATCTTACCCTGATTAATGTATCTTTGAAACTTGAAATCGGAAGAAAAGTCTTTTGAGCTTTTATTCATCTAGTAACTATAGAGAAGGTCCTTTTGCTTAGTCATAAATTTTATGTTTCAGTTATTTTCAATCATTTACCTTTTAAAATATGAAAACTGATGTATAATGTCAGATAAATTACTTGCATAGCCTTTCAAGAAACCTGACCTGAATTTATTTTTTGATGGCCACAGCTGCATTATAGACATAATTTATACAAAGGACTTTTAAGTGATTAAATATTGTCAGTGTGTAAATAATTCTATTGGAGTGAGCGGAAGGTGATGGGCTCTTTAAATAGCGAGAACATGCCAAAGATAAAATCACTTCTGATTTTCTCTTTGTCAGCTTGTCTTTGAAGATATCTCAAACTGAAAGGTTCTAATTAGCATTAAACAATCTCTTAAATAATAACAATAACAGTAATATATTTTCAGAAGAAAAGAATCTGGCAAAATATTTTCAAGAGTACAATGGCCTAATTTTATTTTATTAAATTATGATCTTTTTTATTTCATTTTTTTATATATATATTTTTTTTTTTTTTGCAGTGAATAAATTTTATTGATATAATTTATTAGGATATATGAAAAATAGTTTCTCTTTATCTCACTTCTTTATTTTTTAATGGAAGCATTTAAAAGTTTTATTTGTAATTAATATAAGTCAAAATTGCAAAATTCATTAAGGTTATAGAAAAATAAATAAGCAGAAAATGAAAACGATTGGGATATTTTTTATAATAATTTTTTTTATTCACTTTTGAGGATTGGTTTACAAGAACTATAGGCAACATTGTATTATTTCTGTATGAGTGACAAGCATAACAGGGATAGCAAATGAACCATGAAATTGCTTTTAATGTCCAAGATTTGAATTTCTGTGAAAACACTCTCCCATAACATGAATAATCCTGGCTGATACTTCAGTAGAATTGAAACAGTGTGATGGGTATTTCATTAATGAAAAAAAAAATAAAGGAAAAATTTTAAATATTTTTTTTTATTTTATTTATTTATTTTTATTAATTTTTTTTACATGTTCTCTTTCTTGAAATTTTGTATATTTCATTATCTCATGCTCAGGCATGGTTAAACAGCTGTTAATTTGCCTCAAAAAATGGAACAGTCATACTTGACATAAATTGATTTTTCTTTCCTTTCCTCCTTCTAAGTGCAACTTCAGATGATGTTGTAAAAATGCAATAGAATTGGA